GCAAATGGATTGGTGGAGCCAAGGTTTGAATGTTTGCCTCCTCGGATGCCCTAAATGAGAACAATTGCTGTTATGTCAAATGTTAAGAGGTGTAGCCATTGGAAGGTTTTTAGTACTAGAGAGGCTATGGGGGTGGGCTCTTCCTGCTGTGATTAGTGACTTTACACAGAGAGGAAGACTCAAGATAGCAAGCTTATTCTGTTTCCTAATATAACTGAAGCTCTCCAGCAGATTCTAAGAAGACCCCAGGGCCAGGATCACAGATGTCTCAGCCTTCAGGACCATTAGTTAACAAACTTCTATTAGATACCCAGAACATAGTTTTCAGTTGTACAGTAAGAAAAATTATCGGAGAATTGGCTAAGGCTGGACCTAGATAATAATTTATTCTGAAGCAAATTCTGTAAAATTCAACCATCTGGAACCAGAGATCATAATACATAGAGTATTTGAGCTGTGGTTATGAACAATATCAAGCAAAGATGAAAAGAGAACAAGGACATGGCCAAGAATAAAGGCTTTTACAACATCTGAGAAGTCTTTTCTCTTCCCACTGTGGCGTCCTAATCATTTCCGTAAGCCTGTATGTAACTCCATCCACAAGGAAACTCTTAACAGTCCATTTGTAATAGTACCCCTGTTTTCACATAGTTCCTACACCATGAGGGGTCTTGCAACTGTAAACTAGATGTTCAGGTCAATCAGACTAAAGGACGTGAGAGAAGGTGGCCTGATCTAGGAACTGGGGAAATTTTGACATCAAATCAGCCAAAATGATCTCCCTCCTAAAAGCCTCACATCACTCCCAGAGCATGTGAACATCCTTTCCCCAGATAGTGAGTGTGGGGGAGTTGCATCTTTCCTGCTTGCCTTTAGTTTTTAAATTCATCCTTTTTCTGCATTTAAAAGTTCACCTCAGATCTTTCCGAAATAATCACTTTCATCATATTGTTTTATTCAGTTTTCTTTTGTGAATGTCTTTTTTGTTTTTCTTGGGAAATCACAGACTCATTCAAAGACTGGAAAATATAATCACTTCGTGGTGGATAAGCATATGCTACCAATGTGGTCCAGAAGAAACCTGAATGTCCTGTAAAAACTGTACATCTCAGTGGTCACCAAAGCAGGCCTGCCTACTTTAGAAGTACACCACTGTACTGCAAGGGATATATGGGCATACAGAGTCAAGGATTTCCCAGGCTTCAGATTAACAAAAAAACCAAGAGCCATGTGCATGCTAGGCTGTTTAGCACTGAGCTGTATCCTATTTCCAAGATGAGTGATTTTGATGACAGTGTGACAAATCTTTTCCAAAGAAAAAGAAAAGATAGGAGAACCCCACTGCTGCATCAGCAGAGAGGAAGTTAAAAGCAAGTTCTGAGAGTTAACTGTGGCAAAAGGAGCTTCACTAATTGGGTGGCACCATCTAATAAAATAAAAGCCCCCATGTATTTGTTTATCTCAACACATTTTCCTAGTATTTAATTATAGTGGTAATTCTATTAAACTGAATAGGAGGATGTTGTGCTAAGCATGACATGTTCTAGTTTTAAAGATGATTTATTTATCAAAAAAATAAATAAAAGCTGACTCTGGAAAACCATCTCAAATAATCTCATTCAGTTTTTTTTTTCCATTAGGATTGTATAACTTACATAATTAACTTTAAAATTTTATAATGGCTTTACATTACTCTGATCAAATATATTTGGGTAAATTGTTAACTTTTATAATTTCATTATCATAAGAAAATTTAATTTTCAAATGACAATGACAGCTTTTAATGCATATATACTTTATAACTTGGTCAATGGAAAGCTTTCATTTACGAATATGTTTAATACTGGACAAAATTTGTGGTAGTACTAAAATGAAGAATGAGTCCACAATTGAGAAAATAAAAATATAAAATTGCCGACAGCAAAAAACACAACTTTTCTCCACATTTTCAAAATGATGATAGTGGAGTTGGAGAGCTGGCTCAGTGGTGAAGATCACTTGCTGCTCTTGCTGAGGACCTGGATTTGGTTCCCATCACCAAATGGTGACTCACAACTCTGGAACCCAGCTCAAAAGATCTTACACCCTCTTCTGACCTCCACAGGCACAGGCACTCATGGGTACACACACACACAGGCAAAACATTCATACACACCACATGAACAAATAAATAAATGTAAAAATGTTAAAGGGTAACTAAAATGTTGTTTCTGGATTCTACTGAATAGAGAGTTTTAAGGTGCCATGCTGGGATTTGGAGAAGCTGTGTAAGCAAAGGGCCTGCTGTGCAAGTATGACAACTGCTGTTCAGCACTCATGTAAAAGACAGGTTTGGTGCCACACATCTTTAACCACACTGCTGGGCATGGTGGGAGGTGGTGCAAAAGACATGTGGATCCCTAAAACTCATTGGTCAGACAACCTACAAAATTGATGAGCTCTACATTTAGTGAAAGACTCTATCTTAAACACAGTGGACAGCCATGAGGAAGAGACTTGATGTCAACCACTGGCCTCCACAACCATATGTGTACATGCCCACATAAACATACATACATATATGCATACACCACACACACACACACACACACACACACACACACACACACACTTTATATGTGGAATGATGTAAAATGTTTATTTCAGAACTGCAATATTTAAAATATGATGAAACAGTATTCATTTATAGTCTTTTCTTATTTTCATTGTGATAAAATTCTTGAGACTTGATATCTATGGAGGACCTACCTTTAAACATTATTTTAGAATGTACACTGTCAAAACTCATTTAATAGTAAATTCCCACAGCAGGGTACTTTTGATCTTTGCCAGGGATCATTTGATGGACTCACACAAGCTCTGAATTAAAGTCCGATTAAAACCCAGACTTTGCTTGTTGGGTAAACACCTCAACAGACTCATTCTTGTTCTATTTTGGCATTTGCTCTTTCTTGTCTGGCTGAGATGCAAACATACTGGAATGAGTAATAATGGGAAAAGATTACACAGTCTCAAATGACTCATTCAGGGTCCTATATAAACTTTCTGCTTAAGCTTGTTTTAGAAAAGAATAAATCGAGTGAATTATCCTGGTTTGTTTAGCAAATATGAGCTGCAGCACAGAGCAAAGCATGGTGCCCAAATTTCAATGCTAACACCACACTGTGGGTCCATTGCTTCAAAGGCAGTTTCTCTGGCCTTGTAATGTTAGACAAAATTAAAGAGAAACACAATAAAAATAGACATTACTACGTTTTCTACTACTTGATAATACTGTTTCTCTTGCTCTGGAACATTCTCTTTCAGAGATATTTTTCTCTTGGGAAATGGTTCTGCAGAGCACATGGACAAAGACCACTTTGAATCTTTTGCAATCCATTTTCTTTTGACTTACTCATTTAACTTCATAAGTTTGACCCAGTGAGATGGCTCCGAGGGTAAGCATGCCTGCCACCAAGCTCTATGACCTGAGTTTTATGACCAGGCCCCAACTGTTAGGAGAGAAGCAGTCATCCTTTTACCCCCATTGCACATGCATGCCCCACATAAATACAAATCAAATAAACTTAAATGAAAAGTAAATTCATTTATTATACACAACATCTAATTTCTGGGCAAATAGTACATGCTAGTCCATCTGTTACTTTTTGTGCTTCAGGTGAAATCACTTCAGAGCAACAAAGATCTCCTTTCTGCCACATTATAAGGACACAACCCTTCTTCCACAGCTTCTTACACTTTCTACTTCTGCTAGCATGGAATTCTATCTTTCTTAAGCAATCCCTGCTGTCAAGGTTTATATTCCCAACTGATGTGACTTGGCCCTTAAAAGTATAGAGAACCACTTAATACTGTCTTTAAATAGTGCAAATCTCATACTTTCTCCCAGTATAGAACATCCTATCAATTTAATTAGTCATGCCTAGCTTACTCAAAAAAAAGCTGTTGTAGACAGAAAAATATTAAATCCCACTTAAAGTTGTGTAAAAGACATGCAACAAACTCAAAAAGAAAAACAGTCTTTTTTTTTTTTTGTTCATGTTATTTTCAAACAGGGTCTCACTCTGCAACAAAGGCTGGCCTCCAACTAATGCCAATTGCCCTGTCTAGGCCTCCTAATCTCTGGGATTACCATCATGTCTGGTTTGAGAATCTCTTTTGTACTATTCAAGTCCAATTTCATGTGTAGATTCAATATACCAGGAGAAAGCTCTTAAAATAACTTGATCTTAAAATGTCTATGCTATTTTCTTTGCATGTGAGTATAATTCATCATTCTTCCACATTATCAGAAAAGGTACTGAGTAAAATGGGTCCATGTGTGGTATCTAATATAAAAACTTTTACCTGGGCAAAGATATTCTCTCCTGAATCTTCAGAGATTATGACCATGCCTGGAATACAGTAAGTGCTTAACAAGAACTAAAGGAATAAAACTTGAAGGAATCTCTATGAATAGCTGAAAATATGAAAACTTACTGGTTTGACATAATCTGATAATTGGATATGATCATGTACTCTCTAAATTAAGCTTCTAGATATATATTAGTGAGGAACATAACATTCTAAGTTTCTCTTGAGTGTATTACACAGGTTCCGTAGATTATCTGCTTTCACTCCATACTGTGTAACTTTGGACAAAGAACTTCATCTCTCAATGTTCAGTTCTCTTTCCAAAAGCAATTATGGTCACCATTGGACTATTGTGAAGTGAGCCATGTGAACACCTAGCTGGTTCACAAGACAGTAGCCTAATTTGAGCTGTCACTTTCTAATCACATCTCTTCCATATCGGAGATTCATGCACAGTGGGGACATCAGCACATTGCTAGACTCTCTAGCTCACTGGCTGAAGGTATGTTGAGCCATTTTGCCACTAAACATAAAATTAAATCATCCAGGCAAGGAGATGTTTCCTATGATGAAACCAGATCAGATTATAAAAGTTTGGTATGTATTAGGGTTTAAAGTTGGAAATAAACAGACAAGTCACAATGTAGTAAAAGAAGGATTTTTAGGTTTCTTTGGTGAAACAAAAGCAGATATAAAAAGTTACAAAGATTTTAGATTTTCATTCACAAAAAAGTCATTCACATTTTACACTATACATGTTATAATATAAATACAGGGAAGGATTATGTGCTTTTTAATGAAAAAGGAGAAAGTTTTAATAAGTCAACACCGTGATTTGCTGTGCTTTAGAACACAGAAAGATGGGCTACACTTACTGCAAAGACCCAGGATCTTCCTAAGCCACTATGTTTGCTTTTGAGCAGTCATTCCTTCTATGCCAAAAGCAGTTTCATGAGAAACAATCGCCACAGGGACAGCCCAGTCTTCTCTTTTTCTATTCTTGTTGTCTTTGAACATTGACTCTGACCTCATGTGTAAAACAAAATTTGTCCATATTAATGGGACACCCTATGATGGTTCACTGTATACATTGTATACATTGTATAATTTTAAAGTTTGGTTTCTGTTTACTTTTTATTGGTAATTTTTCTTAAAGTTGAACTTTGTGAAAGAGTGAAAAAGCCTTAAATGCCTTCTTTCCATTAGTGGTTTTATCTTTGAACCTTATAATATCTGGGTAAAGATTCAATGTCATCTTTAGTGACCACTATTCAAATGCAAGAGGGAAATGGGGTGTGGAGAGAGAGGCAAAAACTTCAATGCATATGCACTTCACCTAGCTGGAAGAAATGTCCACACTATTTCTACACTTACACTCTTGTTTGGAATGGGCAGATCCCACTTACTGAAAGCTAAAAGCTTTTCCATTCTCTGTAATAAACACTTGAAGCATTCTATTCATCACATTATTGAATCAGGAACAGGGTGCCTATATTAGAAGGTTTCAAACTATGAAGGAAGTATAAAAGCTAACATTGAAAAATTACTAGTGTACTATATTGATTTCAGGTCTTGGGGGAAAATAACATCCAATAAATTAAATCCGTATGGCTTACTTCATTTATTTAGGTGTGCTTCATAGCTGCAGCATTCATACATGAACATTCAAAAAATTTATAAAGGATTAAAATGGTTATATGTACAAGATGGAGGGTATTTGTTTTCTTTTTTGCATGAGTGTTTTGTTTTAAGAACCCCCACCCTCCACAACAAGGCGTATACCCTTTGTCTACATCCATTCCAAATGCCTTGATCCATTGCCATACCAGCATTAGTGTTAAGAAAGCCATTACAGAGGAATCCTGGTTAAGTTAATAATTAGCACTTTGACCCCTAAAAATGTTCCAGGTCATAGAAAAGTCCTCCATTCGAGCCCTTCTCATAAGTGAAGAAAAAGGAACGTGGCAAAGCAGGGCCACACCCTGCAGCTCCAAGTTTCGTCAGTCTCTCATTCGCCGGGTATCAGCTCGGGCAAGCACAGCGCCTGAGCTGCCATGGAGACAGAGGCCTCCAAGACTGTGTTTGCTGGTTGTTCAGGAAAGCCGTCTTCAAACTAGATGACAGTCAATGGGCAGACAAAACCATTTCCAGCCTAAACAAGCTATAGCGAAGCAGCCAAACTAATGATTAAAGACCTAGAAAGCTCCATAATCATCATTAAATATGCCCGAACTCGGTGTGACATTTTATTTTATATACAGGATTAAAATCAACATTAAATCATCTTATTTACATGGCCATCGGTGCTGAACTTACATTTTCTTTTCTTTTTTAAATAGTACAGTAGGCTGGCATACAGCAACAGTCTGCACTGGAGGCAGACGGGAAACTAAAGAAATTAGGTAGGCTGGAAATGGATACTTTCTTCCCTCATTTTCTTTCATTTTATTCACTTTGAATTCCATGTTTCATTGAAAAGATTTTAAGAGCACAGCAACCCCAAATGACCAGACGGCAGTCCCCAAATCCAAACCAACTGCTAATACTTGTTGAGGTGCTAGGAAAGGCACGGAAAGGTCAGGACTTTGGCTGAATGATGAAGCAAATGGTCGCCATTTTACGGATCAGCGCCTCGACTCCGGCAGCCTCTGGCTCCAGTGATGCTCATGCTTTGACGTGTTTATGGAATTGTCCTTTGCTGATGAGGAATTTTTAAAGTATTTCTTAGAATAAGTCCTTTGGTATGCAGATGCTACATGGAAAAAACAAACAAACAAAGAAAACACAACAGTATTACTTGCTCCATACCCTAAACTACAGATACCACAGCTGTAAAATGTAGGTGTCTAGTATCTGTTAAAACACGGTCGTCCACTCTGTCTAAAGGACCACTTACGGTTCATGCAGGTTATTTTAGGCATAGCCCATCTCCCATTTCCTAGACACCGGATAGTTGGAAGGTGACGCTGAATGAAACCATCTTTGCAGTGATATCTAATCAAGGAGTTGATTTCATAACGTGGTTTCATCTTTCCAAAGGTCTTGGCATTTTCTACAACAGGGGGCTGGCCGCAAGCAACTAAGAAAAAAAGCAAATTGTGTTATTTCCAAGTAATCCACGTGCTTTGTTAGTGTTAGCATAAAACTCACCTCGCTGTGTTTTTCACTGCAACACTCCCCGAACCTCAACCATATACCTCTGTAAAAAGGCATTTAGATAGAATCTAAAGTTTGAAACAATTTAAAATATTTAGGTTCAGGCTCTGGGTGTAGATTTTTATCTCAGATAATTTTTAATTGTGTTTTCATTAAAATGCAATTATCATTAAATAGCTACAATTACCTACCCATCTACAAAGTTACTTTTCTAAAATACTTTCTGATTAAAAGCTCCTGTCTGACAGCAGTAAGTAGCCTACCGATACTCTTTCTCTTTATCTCTCATCTTTTATCAACCATATTGGTGGGGTGATGATGTGATTGCAACAGTTAACTATCCTTCCTTAAAAAGAAAAGCATAATCTTAAACATCAATAATTTGAAATATAGACATATATTTCTAAATATAAATAAAATGTTATCTGAATAGTGTTCTTGCCTCTGGTTTGCCCGTCTGTCTGTCTGTTTGTTGTTTGAGGCAGATGTTATGCAGCCCAGGCTGGTCTTGAATTCACTATGTAGATAAGGATGACACTGAATCCCTGATCGTGCTGACTCGACTCCACACACATTGATATTTCAGACACGTGCTACTGCATATGCTCTATGAAGCTGCAAGGACTTGCTTAAGAGGACTGAACTTAAGCAAGTGCTGTATTTGAGCTGAATTTGAAGCCCCTCATGCCTCAGTTTCTTATTTTGATTAAAATATGTATTTAAATTCTTATGAAAAGTAATAAGAACAAAGCTGTATTTTAATTCACAGTGGAAAACTTTAGCTATTATCACACTAAATTATAAGTAGACATGATAAGAAGTAGATGTAAGACATCTCACTATGTGAAAACCCAAGAAGATGAGAATTTGTATTCACTCAGTTTTACTTTGCATGAGTACATTTTTTTTGGAGTGGTGGGGTTTCAAGATAGGGTTTCTCTGTATTGTTTTGGAAGCTGCCTGGAACTAGCTCTGTAGACCAGGCTGGCTTTGAACTCACAGAGATCCTCCTGCTCTGCCTCTCGAGTGCTGGGGCATGAATAAATGCTTAAAGATTTATTTATTTAATGTGTATCAGTGTTTTGACTGTATGTATGGCTATATGAGGATATTGGAACGCTGGAACTGGAGTTACAACAGTTGTGAGCTGGATTCTGGGAATTGAACCAGAGTCCTTTGGAAGGGCGGCCAGTGCTCATAACTGCTGAGCCATCCCTCCAGCCCCTGTTTTAACTATTTTTAAAACTGTTAACAACTATTATATTTTGCTATCTACCCCTAATAGAGGCATAGATGACATTTCTAAATGTTATTTATGACCCCATTTTAGCAGGTTCAGCATCATGCTAATAACATACACCATGATGCCCTATGAAATAATATGACTCTTTAGTGGAAAAACACCAGAATTTGGGTGTTTATACTTCAAAACCTTAATATATTAAAAAGTTTATAATCATCACATTTGTTTACATATTAGAAGGCTGTTTATAAGTACATTGTTTTTCAATGAAAAATTCGGGTTTGATTGTAATATTTAGTTCTTTCAATTTACTTCTGCTTTATCAAAATTGCACCTGCACACTGCATTTATTATGATATTAAATCTAAAACAGGCTCCAGATAATGACAAGGATTGGGTAGAATGAGGCTACAGTGGTACAGAAGATTAAAATAATCAATAAGATAATTGATTGTATATAATTCTGTATTCTATTGACAAATTGGAAGCTGAATTTAATTTTTTTCATTTTTAGGATATAATTACATTATTTTCTCAAAACTATTTATATGTAAAGATTATAAAAAGCTAAAAATAATCCAGTAACTTATGGTAGTGGCAAGGCTAAAGAAGGAAGTTGAAATTAGATTCAAACATATAAGCTTGATATTTGACAAGAACAACATGGCAGAGCAGGAAAGAAGGCAATCTTAAAACATGGATTATCAGGTAATCACATGGCAAAATATATTTGCTTCCCTACCTCATGGAACACATGGAAAGTCACTTCTAGGTAGCTTAAACACACAAACACAAATGCAAAGTTATAAAACATTCAGCAAACAATACCAAATATCTTTATGATTTTAGAGTTCATAAAGACTTTCTAAAGCACAGAAAAAGTCGAAATAATAAAGAAACATTAAAAGTTAGGAGTTACCTTCATCCAAAACCATAGTGTGAGATGAAAGAAACACTGCAAACTAGAAGCTATTTACAAACTATGTAGCTATCAAGAGATTAGAAATAAATATATGAAATATATTCAATAAATATCCAACAAAAGGTAAATTAAGTCACAAAAGATAACATTTCATAACCACCAGACTGGCCCAAAATTTCCCAAGTCCAATAATATCAAATCTTGAAGAAGAGACAAAGTGACAGCGTTTCTCACACATGCTACAAATTTGGGATGTAATTTCCTGTTTGCAGTAAATGGGATGGTTTATTATAACTAAGCATCTTCAGTCCTGGAAATAGATCCCACAGAAACTTGTGAAAGTCTACTAAGAGCAAGTTTAGGAATATTCATAGAAAAATTACTTATAACAGTAAAAACTGACTGCAACACAGTTCACTGTCAAGAGAACAATAAAATATAGTTGTATATAAGGAACCACTTACACAGTAAAAGCAGAGAACATGTAACTACATATAGCTACACACATGAATCTGAACAAGACAATATAGCAAAAGAAGCAAAGGCATAAACTACATATAATCTGATTCTTATATAAGTTTCAAAGAATTGGAAACAAGTAACCTGTTGTTGTGGGACACTACAGGGGACAGCAAAGGATCCAAGTCATTGTCACTGGCAGGGATTTTGATGAGGAAATGCCAACAAGATGGCCCAAAGATGAATGGACGGCATGAAGCAAAGGTGTTCTTTTAAAACCACCACTTTTCTATATATTAAGCATCTCTTCCTTCCTGTAGTTAATAATCTGAAGATATACTTGGGCAGGTATACTTAAAGGTGTATGAAGTATCCAAGAGACTACCTTTTAAAAAACTGTAAAATGGACATTATAAAGCTCTTTTATAGCTATGAGAAAAGAATCCATTCTTTAATGAAATGAAGTTAATATCTTTCAAAACTCAACAGATTTAAAATACAATTGTATTATGATGTGAATCTTTCTTGACTCTAAAAGTAAAATTCTCATCTTGGAGCAAAGTTTTATTCCTCTATAAACTTGAACCACCCCAGAGAATACGGCCAAATGTAGAACCATTTGGTTGGCACAATGTAGAGGGAATATGGAGACATGAGGTCGGGAGGATGCTAAGTATCCTTGATGCACTGGAAAGTCTATCATCATAAAGATGATACCCTGTTCAAAATATCACCAGTGCTGCTGTTGGGAAACTGCTAGAAGTCAAACTAGCTTCAGAGATAGCATGTTAAGCATGACTCTGGGACCATTTTGAGGTCACAGAAGGCAAACATGACATTTAGACAAAGACAAACAGTTTATTAAAGACTTGTTCCTGGAAAAAGAAAAACAGCAAATAACTTGATTTGCTATTTTTACCAGTTCCATGCAGAAGTGCTGAGGAAACACAGGCAGGAAAGCTTCTTACGGGCGTAATGCATTGTGGGTAAGTTCTACCTTGGATGAAAGAACAGCAAAGTAGTCATTAAAAGCAACTGAGTTTCCTCTGAGTCTAGGACTGTGTGTATCTTAATGTTCTCTTCCTCTATACAATTTTTTATAGGTGTTAAAGTCTTTCTTGCCTAGCATGTTTATCATAGGTATGTGTATGCATATGTGCGTGTCCTAGTATTTTTATATCAAGGAAATAAAATGAGTTTTACATTTTGCATTCGTAGTTTGTCTTGGTTGGCCTAAAAAGTAGATATTTGACTTTAAAATCACTATCACAATAAATGTTAAAATTCTTCCCTGGAATATCCCTTTGCTTTAGGAGGGTGGCTATACAGCCATACTCCATGCTACAAATATTCAAAGATATTCATCAATGGCAAACACAACGTAAACCAAAAGTTCAGCTTTCTTGGTAATTTGTTTTGCTCTTGTTTAACACTAATCAAGCAATTCTCATCCTGGAACTTTCCTTACAGATGTCTCGGTTTATTGATCATTGAAGGTACTCAATTACAAGCACAGGGCTGGTAGTTTCGTTTCATGGATTACAAGCAGAAAATAAACCTCTAAGGGAATGCTTAAGAACTCAAACACACATAAAGACCAGTTAGTAAAAACAGTGAACATTTTGGTTGAAGATTGTGGTGCATATGAGCCTTTAGCCCTCTCCCAGAGCAGTTTCTCAGTTCTTCATCCTTAACCCATGAAAAGCTTGAATATGACCCAAGTGTACCTCTTATAAAAAGAAAAATCAAACTTGACTCTTACATGACACAGCCAACAGTTTCGCTGGCAATGTCTTCAGTATTGCCTTCACCATTAAAAAAAAAAAAATGTCTGTGGGTCCTTGGCCAGCAATTTCTTTCTTAAAGGTGCCACTGGGCAGCTTTCCTGTATAAAAGCCCCCTTTTCATCATAAGCACCTGGGAAGTCTAAATTGAGGATAGTACTGAAAACAAATGTTTTAATTCAATTGAAACAGCAAAATGTCCTTAGGCAACAAGAAAGGACAGAACATGTCTAATTTGCAGCTCCTGGACAATTGCTGCCAGTTAAGATGCAGATTTAGCACCAGGCAGCTCCAGTCCTTACCTGTTCCCTTCTTGCAAGTGTAAGTGAGATGGTAATTGCAGGGAACATCATTCCACTGGCCGTTCTCATGCCAAATGATCACAACACAGTCTTCTCCCGAAGAAAAGAAGCTGTCTGGCTGGTTGGGTCTCCAGTTCTCATATTGCTGTAAAAGGGAGAGAGAAGATAAACACTCAACAGTCAGAGGGAACCATGTGGCTATCTGATTAGAATGGACTCTATTGCGGTAAATAAGGATCAGGATAAACAAATAGGCTGAATAGATGTTTATTCAGGGAGAAATAACTTACAACCTAGACAGATGAACACCAGGAAATTCAACCCGATCCTCTCCTGTCCGAGTCATGCCAGAAAGAGAGCACCTTCCTGGCCCCCTCCGACCTCCTTCCACAGGTCACTTCCGCCCATGGCTCCACCCCCCAATGGGCGTGGTCAGTGCTACAGAAGGACTATCTCACTACAGGACTCAATAACTGCTATTCAACCACAGAACTGAAATTATTTTCATCATAAGTATTTTCAAACCCTAATGGGAAATTCATGTATATCAAAGACTTTGTTTAACAAATACTTTTTTTTTTTTTTTTTGGTCAATTATAAATGTCCTTGAAAATTTTTGGTCTAACTAACTCAGATTCCTAAATATGCAATCTGTCCTCAACTTATGAAATTTCATCCTTATCATATTGTTAAATGTAATAACAATATAAATATGATAGAGAAAATTTTCACAATCTCTTAATTATGTTTTGTTTAGACTTTGTGAGCAAATACAGTCTTATATAGTTCTAGTTTGTAATGCAAACTTCCTTACTTTCTAACTATACAATATGTTTTTTGTTTAATGCAGTACTTTTATCCAAATCCACTGCTTGAGTTTGCAAACTGAAGATATTTGTAATTTATTTGTGTTTATCTCATATGCCTGTATTTATGTTTTTTTCAACATTCCAGAATCACTGTGGCTGGTGTTTAATTTATTATTCTTATTTGGATAGTACAGTCAAGTTTTGCTTTCTGTCCCAATCTTTTACTGAGAGCATTTATCAAATTTATATATATTAACATTAGCGATGTTAGCATCCAGACTCACCCGGACCCCATCCCTTGGTAATTTGGCAGAGTACTTCACGCCTGTGCAAATGGCAGACAGTACCTTGTCTTTGTGCAAAGGGTCCCTTTATGAGACAAGCTCCACCTATTCCCTCCCCCCCCCACCTCTGTCCATCTAAAAAGGCAGGTTTTTGCCTCTCTCTCTCTTTCTCTCCTCTTTCTTTCTCTTCATCTCTCTGTCTCTCTCTTTCCCTTTCCTCCCTCCCTTCCCTTCCCCTGTCCACTTCCCTTCCTCCAGTAAAACTTCCCACATATGCCAGCTTTGGGGCTCCCCAGCTAGGTTTCAAAATGCCTCAAACTATAAATATTTGTCACTTATGCAAGGTGTCCAGATATATATCTGAATGGTTTTATGCTACCTTTGAATTTATGTTTTTAGTAATATTTATTGCTGATCCCTTTTCTACACACGTGCACGCTCCTGCCTGAACACATACACAAAATATCTTTAGCCCTCTATCATAGTATTACATACCATTTATTTAGCATCAATACTGGATAAAGATTTCTTCTAGATATTTGGTACATATTACCTCTTATAATAATTTGAGACAATTTGATAACAATAGCCTCAGAACTCCCTGGGTTAAGTTCCTTTCCTACCTTAATATGTTGCCCCCATGTTAGTGAATAATTATATAAAAAAAACAGTCTATTTCTTGTATATACATACATGCCTGTTCTCATAAAGAGAGAGAGTAAGTGAGAGAGAGAGAGAGAGAGAGAGAGAGGAGGGTGAGAGAAGGGGAGAGAAGGAGGGGAGAGCAAGACAGAAAGGGGGGGGGGCACAATCATGCCGCGAGGAATGTGGGAATCCAGTCCTCAACAGGAGTAGTAGGTATCTCGGTTCCAGTCCTGGCTGTGTTCCTGGCCTACCCTACAATATAGCAAAGTTTGTATTCCCCATCTTTGCAATGAGCAAGATGCCACCATTTTCCAAATTTTGATTGATGTGGTATTTAAGGGATATGAGGTTTAGGCCAGGGACAGGTATTTTAAATTTTGTATTAATTGTGTATTTAAAAAACAATAGAAATAGCATACCAAACCAATGATTTTTGTCATATTCTAACATCCTCTTTATTCTTTAAACTTATTACAGCTTTTTTAAGGCAATATAAAGAAAAATAGGCAGATAATAAAAATTATTTGTGGATGGTGCAAAACTGAAAGTGTGTAGGTATTGTCAGAAAAAGGGATGCTGCTGAGAGAATTCAGTGGACAAAGGTGCTTCCTCCTGAGGCTGATGACCTGAGTTCGAGCCTTAAGCCCACACTTCAGAGGGAATCGACTCCCGTAAGTCATTCTCTGTCTTAAACAAGCATGTCATAGCCCACATGTGGGTACATGACCATATACACTAAGTAAATAAAGAGGAGGAAGAGAGATGAGTCAGCAAAGGGCCCAAGTTTAGTTCCCAACACCCACACGAGGTAGCTCATAGCCTCCTACATACTTCTCCTGAGAAGCGCTCCTGGGGCACCTGCTCTCACCTGCACATACGCACAGACAGACATACCTACATGCATACTTAATTTAAAATAATAAAAATAAATATAGTTATAAAGCAACATAAAGAAAAAAGAAAAGCAATCTTTGTGATCATCAGACTATCACCAGAGGGCAACTCTGTAGACTCAGGTCTTCTTAATATGAATGTGTTAGGATTTCCCATCTTTCCAGCTCAACTGGAGTATTGCTCACTCCCCCAAGCTTCTGCTGGGCTTTGTCTACCCTAGTGTCTTATCATGTGTCTCAACAATAGGACTAATTCATGTGTAGCAAGAGTAGGGGCAGTGCTAAGAAGCTACCTGAACATTGTAGGAAATGCAGGCTCAGATTTATGGGACACCTAAACTACTATTGCCAGCGGCACACCCATCTTTTAGTCTTTCCTTAGATTAAATTTTAAACGTATCTTTGGTTTGAAAATGAGTAAATATTTTAGTTATGAAATATAGTCAGAGAAAAATTGAAGGATTAAAAACAATAATTCTGAATTCATAGTATATTACAAAGTCTTTCTGTTTACTTAATCCTACTAGTATCTTTTATTACTATAAATATGCATATTTAAGACCTATTTCACTTTCAAATACCATTGGGGGGTTGTATGCTTGCAGTATTTTTCACCAAACATTTCTTTTTAGCTTTTAATCTTCAAACACCAGTGTTTGAGAATATTCCAGAAAATATTTCTTTACTTAAGAAACAATTTTGAGTACCAATAAACCCTACACTAAAAACTGGTGGAAGTTTCATTACTATGATAGAGAAAGGCTATAATTTTCTTCTTAGAAAAGAAAAATGATTTTAAGAACTTTTAAAAATGGTAAACTTCTGGATTTTTGAGAAGGTAGCTTGGAAGTAAAATAACACAAAATTTGAAGACTTGCTTTTCTTTCAACCTCTTTGCTTAGCTTTTCTTTAGTATCATGCCAATAGGTAAGTTGGGTAATATCTTCAAATACAGTGACTGTCAGGTAGAAACTACTAGAGATGAACAGCATGGAAGAGATGATTGAGGACAGATGGCACAATGTCACTCACACTCACAGAGTCCAAGTAGTACTGACCATGTACACACGGATGAGGAGCCATCCACTAGTACATAGTTATCCCACCATAGATCATATCCCTAAAGAAAACTGACCTACCATTTAACAGCAATCAACTGTCAATACCTCCTTAGCAGAGATGTGGGCTCATGTGCCTCCCCCACCCATGCTGGAGTGTTGGGGATTGATGTTGCCCAGATATTTTTCAGGAAACCACAGCTACCATGAGTTCATTAGAGAATGTTCCTCTCATGTCCTGAGATGCTGTTTTGCCAATGTCTCTATGACCTCCTACTTCAACAAGCTTTCTGCCCTATATTGATTCATTTATTTCAAAAGCCCTGCTTAATTACTCACCAGCAACAAAAACATGAATTTCCTAATTCTGCTTTGTTTCTTATGAAAGTAGAATGTAAATGTTATGAAAGTACCTACACATTTATCAAAAGTAGCTAAGCTGGTTGAAGCTAGCCTCAGCAGATGCCACTTCCCATCCTCAAAGACATTCAACAGCTTATACTCTTTAGCTGACATTTCCTACTGGTCTGAACAGCACCTGTGCCATTTTCACCCTCGAATGAATTCAAGTTCTGTGCCAGTGAACCATATCTTGGGGCTTAAACTGACAAATGATATAGGATTGAGGAGAACTGCATCTGGCACCCAGCAGTGTTTCAAAATGTGTGTTTTTGTTGTTTGGCAAAGATCTGGCTTAATTTTGTAGGACCAAGTTTTAGTTTTATAGTTTGTATAAGAATATCTAGAGAAATCTGTCACTAGGGAAATGTCCAGACATCTACAAGGATGACCCTGACCACCTCATTTGCCATCCTAGTGCCTTCATCTAGTAGCTGACGGAAGCAGAAGCAGACACCCACAGCCAAACACTTAGCCAAAATCCTGGAATCCAGTTGCAGACAGGTGGGAGTGATGAGCAAAGGGGTCAAGACCAGGCTGGAGAAACCCACAGAAACTGCAGACTTGAGTAAGGGGGAGCTCTTGGAGTCCAGAATGATAGCTAGGAATCCCTGAATGTGGTGTTAGTTGGGAGGACTGGGCAATCTATGGGGCCTCAGGTAATGGATCAGTACTATCCCTAGTATACAAATGAACTTTGGAAGCCCATTCCATATAGAGGGATACTCCCTCAGGGAGGGCCTAGGCCCTGTTTCAAGTGATATAACAGACTTTGAAGACTCTCCATGGAAGTTTGAAGAAAGAGGACTGGAGGGGGGTTGGTGGGGGGGAACAGGGGAGGATGGAAGGGTGTGGGAACTGGGATTGACATGTAAAACAAACTTGTGTCAAATTAAATAAAAAATTATCAAAAAAGAATATCTAATGCCTACAGGCATCTCATACTGTTGCCTCCTGATAATTCAATTGTGCTATTTATCTTAGTTAGGATGCTTCAAATTTGTTTACATCATTGCCAAATTGACTCAGTAAAGGAAACTCCAGATTGCTACTTCCT